AATTCCGGTGTGAATTTGAAAGGACCGAACATGCCGCATCGCAGTCAGGAAAGAATGGACACAGTAGGGTCCTCGTTCCAAGCCCGGGCCTGGGAAAACACTTTTCTGCTGAGTGCATTTGAAGCCCTAAAAATAAAGCGATGTCCTCTAAAACCAACAGTGAGCTGCCACAGGTGGATAAAAGCCCTCAGTGTTAATAGTCCAGACGGAGCCGGGTTCGATTGGGCTCAAATTGGTTTGTCTTGTTTGAGTCAAGAGGAAGTCCTCCCAGGCCACGCGCTCATCAACTGCAGTGTGCACAATAATTGTTCCGTATTGATCTCTTGCTTTATCTAGCCTGCTAGCATCTCCAGGGCTCTCTGCTGCAAGACTCTGTGTCCACTCCTCGTCCATTTCTGACCATCATATTTGTGTAAAATTGGGTCTTTTAAGCCCATGCTGTAATGCTAGTTTGGTGTTTATTGTTAAATAATTCAATTTAGCATCTGATGAGGTTCAATATAAACACAGACTGAACTGTGTCCTAAGAATCCAGCCAGTTATTTGCTTGTAACCAGACCTTCGCCTGGCTTCATCCCTTTCTTTTTGATGCTATTTGGTATTCTGTAAGCTACTACATGTCGTTTGATCAAAGGTACAAAGGCAAATGCGTTTATACATTGTTTAAGCTCGGCACAGAGATTTTATGTCCCTGATCCCATTTCCCAATCTGACAACTTTGCTTAAAGCATCCAGAGCCCTTTAAAGAAGAGAGAGAGAGGGAGCATATGATAAACTGAAAGTGGATTGTAATAAAAGACAAATGGATGGTTATTCCAGGACAGCACAGTTAGACTTAGTCTGAAATGCTATCTCGCACAATCCTCCCCGTCTTAAGTTTGCCCCAGATTTATCTCTCTGACTCTTTTAGCCCGCTGTGTAAAAATAATGCATTAGCATTCCAGTAGTTCCCACAAATCTCCCTCTCACACAAAAGGGATGATCGGATGATCCACATGAATATTCCAAAAATCACCTACTCAGCATCTTACTTATCAGCCCCGCCACCTGGTAGATGTCAGTAAGAGAGCGGAAGGCAGGAAAACGGAGAGAGTTAGAGGGTCCCCAGTCGCCTGATAAAAAAGTATGGGATGGACGACACTGAGAGGATTTTCAACACTATATTATGAAGACATATCTACTCTTTTTCATTCACGCCCCACATCCACTGACACACTGCTCTCCCCACACACTATCCTCCCCACGGCGTTATCTCTCACACCCTTTATTACTCTCCCACAAAGCGTTCAGCACAGAGCCTGGCAGACGCTCTCCCTCCCACCGGCATTGCACTTTCCCATTTCATCAGACTGGCCTTAGTGTCATATTTAGACTAATTGAATTAAGCAGTGGTCAGATTGGCTGTGTTTGTTCATTCACATGAGCAGAATAAGATGTCAAATGCCCGTGACGTTTCACGGGCATTTTGGAATTGGATCCCGGTGAAGATCATTTTCCTGATTTTTGTACTGATCGGGCAAAACCTGCAAAACCTGCAAAGGACGCTTTCATCTGGCTGACATACCCACCTACAGGGATTTGAGTCCTGCTTGATGTTTTATCAAGGACAGACTACCAGGACTTGGACGCAGGACAGGACAGACGTTTTCCTATGAAACCTCTGACCTATAGCGCAGTCTCCATGCAAATAAAAAGGACTTTAAAACTCATTTAGCTGTCACCAAAAGCGCCACCAAGGAAAAGCCGTTTCTAACCTGTTTTAACCTCATCAACACCTCTTTGTTTTTGCGGTGAGCTACTGCAATATTCTTAGAGGGGACATGGGTTTTTTTTCTTTCTTTTTTTTCACAGGCTGACAATTTCCTGAGGTCTTTATGAAATATCTGTGATGTGCTTTGATCCAAATGACAAGCTGAGAAGCAGCTTACAAAAGCTCCTTTTCCACTGTGAATGGATGCCTCTCCTCACGTTGAGCTGATGTAGTGCAGCGGGTGCTTCGTTAAACTCTGCTCCTGAACAGCTTCTGCTTCTTTTCAGATTGAGAAAACTTATAGATTTTTTTCCATTTGTACCTGCTAAGTCCTATAAGGCCCTTCGCGCCTCGCTACGACTTGGTTTAGGCGCTTTCCCATTACAAATGCATCCAAGATGGGCCAAAGGGCCAAACCGGCCAATCAGCGACTAGCATCTTGCCTTGGAGCAGCCCAATTGGAGCCCCGGCCCAATAGATGCTAAAATCGTACCTTTTATATTGTTTTTCCAAAAGTAACTATGTGACACCGGTTGGTTCATCTCCTATTTTTCCTTTAGGGGCTTGAGTCTCGTAATAGTTAAAAATATAACACCTCGTTTCTTCTAGTTCCAACAAGGCTGAGGTGGGTCTGCGGCAGAACACCAGCTGCTGATTGGACAGATAGAAATGTGGAGGTACGATATTTGTTCTCTGAAATAGGAGCGTGGCTTACAAATCCAGAGCAAATCTGATCTGATCACTGAGATTCTTTCAAATCTCTACTTCTTTTTTTTAAGTTGGCCGTATTTTCACGACGCCTCAATAATAGGTTTTTACTAAAACTATCCCCTCCAATGTGCTTCTTTTTTTTTTACCCATTCAATTGTCCACATTGCTTACTCAGCATGGATGGGTAATGTCCAGCACAGGATATTTGCCGTAGAAAACTAATTATTTTCTGTTTTAATTATCATCTCTCTTCTTTTGTTACATTTGGGTATTAATCTTTCTGTTCATTATACGCCCATTCAGGAATAATGAAAAGTTGGAGACAGCCGCTGAAGTAACACTTCCCTCTGAGCTGGAGTTTAAAACCCTTCCACTGCGGGCCTGGTTTTGCTTTTAGGATTCCATTACGCAGACATTCTTTACTCCATGGCAGTGACTAATGGACAGCTTTGCATCCCTGTAAAGTGTTGGCTGCCATATGACGTGTTTCGGCAAGTCTAGAAATGAGAAACGTAAAGAGCTCATAAAAGAGACCCCGTTATCTCAGATGTGATGAACCCCAAGATACAGCTCTGCGGTCTGGATCTGAGAGCATTTGAATGCTGACACCAAAGTTGAAATTGGCCCTGTGTGTATTTGTTATTTGATGCCATTGGGAGGCTGCTCTCCAGAAAACACTGGCTTTTGATTCATCTCTGCGCCAGTACACCTGCTGAAGGCGGGGGATTCTCAGGCCTTATTACTCTGCTGACTCAAGCACAATCCAGAACTCAAGGCTACCCCGAGAGAGGATGGATCCCTCAACAATATTTGTTCATAGCTGCAAAGGAAACTGAAATCATGGAGAACTATCTTGGTTATGCTACAGTTGATTTGACCTCCCACACCCTTTCAAACAGCAGCAGAGATCCAGCCTGACAGCAGCGAAGGTCTCATTATTTCTGTATCATTTGAACAACATTGCCCCCTAAAGTTATTTCTAGGTGTACATCCAGCTCTGTGGGGGGAGTGTGTTAGAGGACAATACGATGTCACAATATGGTGCAGCAATTTACCACCACTTGCTCCCATCTAATGGACCACGGATGCACATAACCTGTATTACTCTGTCATTTTCAGTCTGACAAAAACAACAGGCTACCATGACCATACACACTATGATTTAAAACTAGGGGCGGGTAATATTCAGACAAAGAACAGAGATGAGAAAGATTCAGCAGGCTGGTACAAGTAATTGTGTGTCTTCTTGGCCGTCCGTAATATCGACTACAGTACTTTCATAATGAGCAAATTGATTAAAATAAAGGCTCATCGTTACCAGTAAAGCAACACCCAGCTAACCTAAACTTTCACTTAAATAACTTCTATATCTCCACACATAGGTTGAACAATGCTTCTGACAGGGATTGATTATCTCTCTTCAGGAGTGGTTCTTTGCTCACTCCAGTGAACTAATTATCCTCTCCACACTCAAAGTGCTATGAACACAGCATCACCTCAGTCTTAAAACTGCAAATGTGGAGAGCAACTTAATACCTTTCAAGTTTATATTTATATGTGTTGTTTGCTAATTTGTTAGTTTATCTTATGCCGTCCTTTTGTGACTAAATGTATTAAGAGGCCCGTATTTCTCCAGCATATTTAGAGAAGCAGTGGTACTTTTGCTCAACATCATCCCTAAACATCATCGACAGCTTCAAATTTGAAGGAGGAGCATAAATGAAGTAAATACTGATGTGAATATGTGTTAAATGTATATCTAAAGATGTATTTTTCTCAAACACAACACATAAATTAGCCTAAATCAGAATGATGAGTCAAACTGAAAGTGCTAACTGTTAACTGTTCAGAGAACCACAAAAGGCCCTAAAAAGCACTACAAATGAACATTTTCACACTTTCTCTAGCAATTTCGTGGGGAAATTAAATGGATTAGAGTGTAGAGAAATACAAAATCAAATTTGTTTCAATGAAGTGCCAGGGTTTACATCAGCCCAGGCTTTGTGCAACCAGTAAAAACGAAAAATGACCTTGCACGACAGCAGATAGGGACTGCGGTCTTTAACTGTATACCATGCTATAAGGCTATATTATATATGCATCATGGTCAGCAAAAGCTACTCCACGTACTGCATTAAATCCTGCACTCTCTCACACAGAAACACCAATGGAAATGTATCTCGACATTTCTAAGAAGTTAATTATATGCCTGCTTAAGCAGTTCTACCTCAGGGAGAGATGTTAAACTAATAGATGTCTCTGTTGAATCGTTGAAGAGCTCACAAAATGCTTTTAGAATTTCAATACATTATATTTCAGACTTGATTGTTAGGATTTTTTTCTAATTCCATTTTTATGGTTGCAAAATGCATAAAGAGCAATTGTAAAATAATCATTTATGGGAGCTCTTTCAGCATAATTTGACCACTTTCAAGTGAGTTTCTTGTGGTCAAAGCTACTTATAGAATTCTATCTATCTATACTTATTTTCTGTGACGGTGGATAAATGCTTGGGGTTTTGTGGGGCTATGGCGCCCTCTGGTGGTAGGAGGTCGATGTTATATTTTTGACGTTTCCGTCTCCGGCAGACATATTGCTTACTAGAGCAAATTCTGGAGAGTTAGCAGAGGGAAAGGATTTGAAATAAATTTGAATCTTCACAGCCCGATCTACTTTAAACAAATAGGACACAATGGGTAAGTTATTTGGCAAATTGTAACGCTGATACATGTTAAGGTGCTTCGAAGTTATACCGTGTCCTCTGAAAGTAATGATTATGAAATCATCCCGTCACTGTTGTTTAGCTAGTTAGCCCAGTCAATAGCTATGTAGCTTGTTAACGTTGCGTTTGTACGCAGTTGAATAGTTTAGTAGTTGTTTTTGCTCCTGGACGATTTTTGTTTTTCAAACTGACCCACCTTTTTGTCTGAGTTCAGCATTTTAACTGTCATATATCAAATGCGGCGTGTACCATTAAGATTAACCACAGGAAGCAGACCGTGCTACCTGCGAGCTAACTTACAGGAAACTTGGCTTACTGCTAAGAACGTTAGCACCTAGCTGTCTCGTTCTTTACAAGGTTATATACGCGCGCAGTTTCTTTGCCTAAAGTTATTATTCGTTTAGAATATATGGGCATAAAACTGCAACTTTGGACTTTGTTACCCACTTCAAGTAGTTTGCTTATGTATGCCAAAATATAGTCGGCGACATCGTTAGCTAGTTGTTTTGGGGCATTCCATTACCAGTTTCATTAAATATGTACATTTAAAACAATTTGTTGGCGTTTTCCCGCTATTGTGTGTTTTGCCTGCAACTTAAAAAACGTATTCCAGTAACTTAGTAAAGTTTAAACTTATTGACCCCGTTTAATGATGGATGTGTTTAGGTCTAGATTTGTGGCTGCGCAGCGGCTAAATTATACGTTAGCTTAGCCGTTTTAGCTCTGTTATCTAGCTTCAGTTCATAAACCTTGTTACACAATACGTTGATACCGTTGTTTTAAGTACGTAAGAATCCAGGTTGAAAGCATGTGGTCCCGTTTATCACAAACAACCGAGATGGCTACAGCTGTACGACAGAATGAACGATTGCTACAAATGGCCCATTATTGAGCGCGGTATTGTTAGACCGTGTAAGCCTTTGGGCTGGAGTGTGCTGGCAATGTGGCATTAGTGATGCCGTGCTTTCCAGGCCATTCTTGTACAGGAATATACACATTACACAGCAGCATTACTAGCGACCTGCTGCCTTGAAAGATGAACGATCGGAGGGCGGGGATAGTCGGTACGCAGACTGTCAAATACCATTTCAGTCCAATGTGCTTGTTGGATTGTATTCATTCTACCTTTTCAGCCATGCTCTGTTTCTATTTGCTTTCAATATTGGATTTTTTTTTCATGCCAAACTTGGCCTGTTACTAACTCAGGGGATACAGTAAGAAGTAGTCATACATAAAACTTCTCTGTTTTAAACAAAGGTTTAAGCATAGATTCAAGGAGACAGTTGTGTTTTTCCCCTCCAAACCCAGTCAAGAAATTCCCCCACCACCACACTGCTTTGACTTGCTGCTATCCAAAGGGTTTGCTCTTAAATGATACTTCAGACGTGCCCTCCCAGCTACGCTATTTTGGTTTTATCGAGCCTAAACAGCTCACGGGCAGGGGAGTTAACAGACAGCATATAATCCAGCCTACATCCCGGGGAAATGAGAACAATTAGCTGCAGCCTGTGTTTTTCCATCCCTGTGGCTTTGCCGTCTGTATACATTACACACGTGTGAGCTTTTCACATGCACTGAAGTACACGAACCATAACATGACCTCAAATTCAAATGCCTCCTCTAGATTGAACCTGGGCGCCTCCTGTCGGCGCATGGGTAGGTTTTGGCACAGAGGGTTGGCACCAATTTGCGGTGGTGGCAGGTTTCTTTGTAGCTGCCCACCCCACCCTTGGCCACCTCTCTTTTTTTGCTCCGCTGGATCCCCACTGTGACTCAGTGCTATGGCCGATGCTCTGTGCTGTTGGATGATTACACAAAAGCTGGACAGTCTTCCCCATGTGAGCACCGCTTTATGCCAACTCTGCGATTTAACTCAGCTGAATAAATACGTTTGCTCAGGTTGTCAGATGACGAGTCAATGAAAGCCATGTGTTTGCATGCATGTGTGTATTTTTAGGCTGTGTTGACCTGTTTTTATGAGCTAGTGTTTATGCCATTCAAATATATATATCTGTGTGTGTTTAAAATGTTCTTCATCATGGCCTCTTCTTAGAGATTGCAGGGGAAACGAATGAAACTTGACCTGTCACCTGGTAATTTGGACCTCCCCACACGTTTCCCCTCCTCCGACTCATCTCAGAGGAAGCAAACACGCACAATTGTTTCCCATCTTCCTTGAATGTAATGTGTACGTCCTCTGTGTGTGTGTGTGACCCAGCAGAGCCGTCAGCCAGTCCGGCCAAGGATAACTACAGGATGAACCGCTACAAGAACAAAGCACTGAATCCAGAGGAGATGAGGCGCCGAAGAGAAGAGGAGGGCATCCAGCTCAGGAAACAGAAACGAGAACAGCAGGTATCAAAGCTGTCCGCCCTTGCAGCAGCCTGCAGAGTCTGTCAGGCAAACGCAGCCTCAGATGAAACACAACATGCCACAAATTAAGTGTAATTAATCAACAAATCATTGTGATTAATGCAACACAAACAAAGCCACAACAGCCTGTGGAGAACAGAATGCGTACACTTGCTGCTTCCTTTGAAAAGAAGATGAGCAGCAGCCATGTGCTGCTCATCACGTGCATTCTATTCCTCCATCAGCAGCAGGTGTGAATGTTCTTTAAGAGCAAAGGATTTGGCACTCAGCTGCTCCAGTCTTCAGGTGTGCCTTCACACGATAGCAAGGAGGGAATACGTCACAAGGGATCTCAAGCAGGTCATCAAATCAACCAAACTTCCAAGCAAGTTCACGCCTTAGTCAGACTGAAATGCACAGGGAAATGGTAGGAAAAAAAACTAAACAAAAATCCCAAACTATCAAAAAAGAGACAGGACAAGTGTGAGTTGATGGAGGGTTATTTGAAGAAAGTCATTTCTCTTTGGAAAGTTTTGATCCTTTGTTTTGTATTACATATTTGCCAACCTGTCAGCCAGAATTGATTTATTTTTCCCCATCATAACCACCTAGCAGTGTAAATTTACTCTGAAATGAACACTTCTGCCAGATGTGACTCATTCTGACTGCCACAACTTAAGGAAAGGTCAGTGTATCACACAGTATATCAGACATGAACGATAGAGGCCTCCTATTAACCAGAGCGGGGATTATCAGCCCCCAAGGTGAAGGCCCTCACCGAAGAAAAGATTAGAGGACATCCACACTTAGGTTTACAAAGTGGGGTCAGAACAGACGGAGCAGTAGTTTGACGAAGATATCTGGACTCAAATGCAAGATATGATCCCAAACGCGGCAGCAGATTCAAAACAGAAGGTCTAAAAGAAAAGGGAAAAAAATCTACTTGTTCTGATGATCTAGTCCGAGTCTAGACCTCAGCAAGACTGAAATAATGTGGGCACTCAGTGAAGCTGTTCATAAACAGATGCTGCAAACCTCAGAAGAAAGACCAGTGGGCCCATATATTCAGTTATGAGTGTGTGAAGCTGAGAACAGAAAAGGACGACTTCTGGGTTTTTCCTCCACAAGTTAGGTCGTGGGTGGGCTTTGTTCCCCTCACACAGCGGCCGTCTCTTGACTTTTGCTTCTGTTAGATAATTGTCAGTTTAATGTGCCATGAGCAGTGCATTTATTCAGCTTAAAAAGACCGTGAGGTTTTTCTTTCATGTCTTGATTTTGGAAAAAAAAGTCCTTTCCTTGTTTGACTCTATGCTCCCACAATTCCATGCACACAGCTCTTCAAGAGGAGAAACGTGGACGTTCTCAATGAAGAGGAGGCCATGTTTGAGAGTCCGCTGGTGGACTCTTACCTCACCTCCACAGTCACAGTAAGTGTCTTTCTTGTCTTTTTTATCTTGTTTTCCCCAGACTGCGCCGTGCAGAGTGGTGATATTTGTATGTTGTTTACGCTGGCTTGCAGGAAGGGGTTATTACCAGAGACATGGTGGAGATGCTGTTCTCAGAAGACCCAGAGCTGCAGCTTGCCACAACGCAGAAGTTCAGGAAATTACTTTCCAAAGGTACTTCTGCACGTTGTGTATGAGAGCCCGTAACAGCCTGGGGAGGTGCGCTAAACCCAAGGCTCGCATGTGCTTTTTCAGAGCCCAACCCACCCATCGACGAGGTCATAAACACGGCCGGCGTCGTGGAGAGATTTGTGGAGTTCCTGAAAAAGAGCGTCAACTGCACACTACAGGTGAGCGCGTGGAAATGAACAAAGGCCGGCTGAATCCCGCCGGCCACCGGAAATACATTAAATTCCTTCTTATTCAATACGGTTTCTGCTTAAAAAGAAAGAACAGTGCCGGAATGGCAGAGTGAATGAAGAAGACTTCATTTAACGGTCCGGCTGGCTCGGCCCACCACTAAGGGATTAGACCGCTCTTCAGTTTCATGGCAAATTGTCTTGAAATCTTGGCGTTTCAGTTCGAAGCGGCCTGGGCTCTGACCAACATAGCGTCGGGAACGTCCCTGCAGACTAAGACGGTCATCGAGGCCGGAGCCGTTCCCATCTTCATAGAGCTGCTTAACTCGGACTTTGAAGACGTCCAAGAACAGGTGAGGGCTTGTAAGAGGTGGAGTTGAGGCACCGGGCTGTGTGCGTGTGTCTGTCTGACGTGAGCCTCTGCTGCCTCCTCCTCAGGCCGTGTGGGCCCTGGGGAACATCGCGGGGGACAGCGCGGTGTGCCGGGACTTTGTGCTGAACTGTAACATCCTTCCGCCCCTGTTGATGTAAGTTCATTCTGTGTTTTGACTTTTGAATCAGTTTGTGGTTATGATCTCACCTCCATCGTTTTTATTTGTGTGTTTTGTTTGTTCCTGTTGTTTGTTTGTTTTGTTTTTTGGTGTTGTTTGTCATTTCAGGCTTCTGACCAAATCCACCAGATTGACCATGACTCGAAATGCAGTGTGGGCTCTGTCTAATCTCTGTAGAGGAAAAAACCCCCCGCCCGCTTTTGAAAAGGTAACCTTTTCACTGGACCTGGGTTTGCTGAGCAGAAAGAGGATAAAGTCAGTTAGCTGTACCCTGGAGCTTGAAGTATATGTCTGACTGCTTTGTTTTTTGTTTTGTTCTTTTTAATTTGAAATTTAGCCTATATTTTTAGTCACTTCTTCATTTATTTATTTTTTTAAGCTGACAATGTTTGTATCTAATTGAACTGGAATAAGTCACATGGTGTGGTAAGGCCTCTCTCCGTGCTGCTGTCCTGTGTTAGTAGTGTGGGTGATGCTGCCTTTGTGTCACTTCTGGTCCTAAATATGTATTCTGTCTAGGTTTCACCTTGCCTGCCAGTGCTGTCCAGGCTCTTATTTAGCAGTGACCCAGACTTGCTGGCAGATGCCTGCTGGGCTCTGTCCTACCTCTCGGATGGCCCCAATGACAAGATCCAGGCTGTCATCGACTCCGGTGTGTGCCGGCGCCTCGTGGAGCTCCTCATGTAAGTTTCCGCTTCCTCTTTCTTATTTCTGTCTTGGCCAATTTGACCTGTGAAATTCCAGAAATCCCCGCTTATATCCCCCCCCCCACTCCTCCCTTTACAGGCACACCGACTATAAGGTGGCCTCCCCGGCCCTGAGAGCCGTGGGAAACATTGTAACCGGAGACGACATTCAGACACAGGTGAGTGCATGCTGCAGATCAGGCTGCTCCTGTCCAACCAGCTGCTAACCGGCTGGAGAGATGGAGGGTTGTGATGGCTCCAGTTGAGGTCGTGTAAGTCACACCTCGGTGCTGTGCTGTGTTCAGGTGGTGTTGAACTGCTCCGCCCTGCCCTGCCTGCTGCACCTGCTCAGCAGCGCTAAAGAGTCCATTCGCAAAGAAGCATGCTGGACCATCTCCAACATCACAGCAGGCAACCGAGCACAAATCCAGGTGCCCAGAGCTTTCCTTTACCCAACATTTACATCACTTTGGGTCCACTGAAGGTCCCCCCCCCCTCCTCCTTTTTTTTTTCTCCTCTCAGATACCAACAAATAGCACTTTTCACCCACCAGTTATTTCAGATGCTGCTACTGAGTATTTTTTAGGCACATGTTTTTAATGCCTCCTTGTTCCTTTTAGATTGAATATTGCCACATGAATTTGTTGTTTTTGTCCCATTCTCTGCACACACTTCTGATGCATGCAATTAGCCTCTGAGAGCATTCCTAGCATAGTGTAGAGTGAACTTCTGTCACCATGCAGAGGTTTTGGCCCTGACGTCCTCTGTCACGTCCTCCACAGACAGTCGTTGATGCCAACATCTTCCCAGTGCTGATCGACATTCTGCAGAAAGCTGAGTTCAGGACCAGGAAAGAGGCCGCCTGGGCCATCACCAACGCCACCTCTGGAGGAACCCCAGAGCAGATCAGGTCAGAAGTTTGGCTCTACACGGGGAGGGTTTTTTTTTTAAAGGAAGAACCCAAAAGAATTATGACTAGGCTGCAGTAAAGGGGGAATGTTCCGATGAGAGTGAAGCTGTGTGGCATAAACCATCCTGTCTTTTAGATACCTGGTGAACCTGGGCTGTATTAAACCCCTGTGTGATCTGCTGACTGTGATGGACTCCAAGATCGTTCAGGTCGCGCTCAACGGGTTGGAAAACATCCTGCGGTTGGGCGAGCAGGAGGCCAAGGAGGAGAACAACGGCACAGGCGTTAACCCTTACTGCAGCCTCATCGAAGAAGCCTACGGTACCCGGAGACGTCCCTATACTCCACTGTCACCAGCAGTCTGGAGAACAAGGCCCAACTTTTTCTTTTCTTTTTCGCAGGGCTCGATAAGATTGAGTTCCTCCAGAGCCACGACAACCAGGAGATCTACCAGAAGGCCTTTGACCTGATCGAGCACTACTTCGGGGTGGAGGACGTGGACAGCAGCCTCGCTCCTCAGGTGGACCAGGCCAACCAGCAGTTCCTCTTTCCCCAGCAGGAGGCGCCCATGGAGGGCTTCCAGCTATAAGCCCCCACCTCCCCGCCCCCCTCCCCTCCTCTAAAACACACCACTGATCCCCTCCGTGGCCCTCCTGCTTCGCGGAGGACCCATAATGCCTGAGTCATGCCCCCCCTCCATCACCTCAAGCACATGCAGACCCACTGTTACGAGGAAAACTGCAACCACGTTCAGCCAAAAATCCCCCCCCTTCTTTTCTTCGGTCTTGCCAACCTGCCAGCTGACTTGTCACAGGGTAGACTTTCTGATTCTTTCATTTGCCGGGCAGCGGGGGCGTGGCCCGGTGGTGGGGGCGTGTCCCGGCGGCTGGGGCGTGGCCAGGCAGCTGGGGCGTGGCCACCAGCCGGGCTGCACTGGCCAGAGGGGCCGATGGTCACTCCTGCTGACCATCGGTTGACCATCCTCCTGCTGCCTGCTGAGAAATCTTTGACCCCAATCAGCTGGAACCGTGGTTTCTCTTTAAAGACCTTTAAATTATTTGTTTCCCAGTGGGACATTCCTGCTTTCTGGATTGCACATGGACCCCCCCCCCTCCCCTCCCCCTCCCCATGTCTTTGCAGAGGTAGTAGACGGGGGTGCACGAGGTGGAGTGTGCCCTGCTATTGATGTCAATTTGACTTTGTGCAGTTCAACAAAAATCTCTGCAATTTTTTGTCCCCCCTTTTTAGTTGAATAATTCTGCTCTCCCAACCCTTAATTATCCGCTCTGTTTTTCCCCTTCCTCTCTAATGGAAAGTGCTTTGGTTTTTCTACAAACAGAGCCCCCTGATTGTTTGGCTTATGGCTGATATGAATCTGCAGTCAAGAGTCACATTTTTCTTTTCTTTCTTTCTTTCTTTTTTGTAATTGGAACACATTTATGGGGTGGATGGGGAGGAGTAAGAAAATGTGGGTGTAACTTAAAAAAAAAAAAGAAAGAATGATGCAAACTTCAGAAGGGCTCTGAATAGGATATTGGTGAAGGTTTTCTAAAATAATCCCCCCAAAAAAGGACAAAAAAAATCAAAAAGGGTGGAATAGTTAGAAATCCAGTGTTCGTCGTGTGCTGTGATTAACAAGAAAAAAAATTGAAAAATGAGGTCGTCTAACTATTGCGTAGGTTTTTTCTGGGGGGGGTTGTGTTGTGCTTAGGGAGAAGAGCCAGCAGCAGTAAACCAAACATATTTTTTTATTTCTAATCCCATTCAATGGATCGCAGATGCTAAAAGGTCAGATACTTCTGGCAGGTGTGGAGACTTTTTTTTTATAAGACATGAAATCTGAAAAGAAAGAAACTATAGAGAAGTGTGTGGTTCCACTGGAGCGCGGGCGTAAAGCCTGCCTCTGCTGGTCACTGGGCCCTGGACTCCGCTCCCCCCCACCACGCTCACCCAGGCCACGCTATGTTTTTGGGGTTTTTCCCTTTAATTTAGTTGTTTTTTTCGTTGCATGGTGTAACATTAAGCCGCCCTGCCAGCCGCTGGGTCTCCCAGACGGACGCACGCCAACGGGAGGGGCCAGAAACAGGGCCGGCGTGTGGAGGGCGGGGCCGGCGTGTGGAGGGCGGGGCCGCGTAGAGATCATGTGGGCGTGTCGTGTAGCGGTAGAGTTGATGCATAGCTATATCTCTTAAGGAATGGAAATAGCAAAGCGCTAATTATTTTGTTTGCGTGTGTGAAGAGGGAGGGAGGGAGGGAGGAGGGGGGGGGGGGGGGGGGGGGGGGGGCAGTACTGGTGTAAACAGCCAGAGCTTGGAGCTTGGCTGGGGGCGTTTCTTGAGTGACGAGCCTAACTACAACAAAAATTCAAGTATCCACACATATTTGGATTTTGGTGTATCCGCGTTAGTATATAGATATATATTTGCGCACACTTCATGCACACTTGCATCCAACACCAGCAGAACACTGTACACACCGCACACACAGATGTGTGGCTAGGAGCAGCAACGGAGTTTCCATAATGCTTTTGTCTTTTGGGTTTTTTCTTTTTTTGTTTCTTTTTCTCCATTCTGAAGTTCCAGGAGGAAGTTATGGAAACTCCTAGTCGATGTTTCAAGCCACCGGACTTAAGGATGGTTTAGCTAAACCATGAGCACAGACTGGCCCCCCCAGACAGAGGCAGAGAGAGAGCTGGGGGGGGTTTCCAGGCTGGGTTTGTGGGAGAAGCAGAGCTGTGGTCGTGTGATGTTTGACTGACGTGGCACTGTGTGAAGAGGGAGAGGTTAACTGACTCTATCTAGACTAGGTCCCGCTCAGTCGGGAATGGCCTGTTCTGTGGGCGACTTCACAGTCCAGCCTGTTTAGTTTTTGACAAAGTGTGATGGCAGGCGTTTGAACCACCCCAGTGGGGGGAGGGGGGACTTGTCTCAAAGCTGGGTGCTGCTCAGAGAGGAAGCCGTCGCCCGTAGAACAAGTGCATTCCTGACTGACAGGAGGGGTCAAAGCAGGTAATGACCGAGCAGCACCTGACCTGACCCGCACGCTGCTGACCTGCAGGGCAGCGTTTCCACCGGGGGCTGTCGCCATGACTGATGAAGTGCTCTGGCCACGGCTGACGCCAGAACGGCAATATTCAAAAGAGGGAAGGGGAGAGGGGAAATCACCGCATCATCCAGGAAAAGAATCTTTCTATTCGTTGAAAACGAGAAAAAAAAATGCACTCCTGCTCACTAAAGTGCCAATCCGACCAACAAAGACTGGAGGTTCTTTTTGTTTCTGTCTTTTGACTTCTCGGTGATTTTCTTTATATCTTTATTTACTTGAATGTGCACAAATTTTGGGGTTTTTTTTTTGTGCAAAGACAGTGCTGCTCTATTTTCTTTATCTTTAAAGTTACATGGTATAGCACCGTTTCCTGGGAAAACGTGGCGTACTTTACAGGGGCACCTAAAGGCCGATGTCTAAATGTCATGTGGGGGGGGTGGAACGGCATAGAACAGGTCTTTTTGTTTTTTTCCAGTTTCTCTCATTGATGGCCCCTGCTATCGTTCTTTCGAGGGTTCTCACTGTGCGTAGCTGTGTAGATATGAATGATTGTTACATTTGAGGTCTGCAGCCAATCTGTCTGTGCCGAGTTAAAAAAAAAAAAAAAAAAAAAAAAAAAAAGCCTGAACATTATGCTAGTGACGGGACGTGAAGCGACTATCACAGAAAAAAATGCTTTCAAACTGTTTTGTTTTTTGTTTGGGCTTTTTTTGCCTTTTCAACTAAAGCTCCAATTTGTCAGCACCTCTCCCTCTTCGAGAGAAAGCGCGCATTTCCTCTCAAATTTACACTTTTTCTGTCAAAATCTGCAAAAAAGAAAACAAGCGATCCAGGAGACTGCATGAATGATAGTCGGCGCTCTCACAGGGGACTGGAGCGCCCGGAGACCACAACCGCTCCACCTTTTTCTAAGTTTAAAATCTGGGTTTCAGAAATAGCGCAGTGATTTACATTAAAAAGTATTATGATTTAAACTATATGTATGTTCTGATACATTGACAGGGATTCAGATGCAATTCTAATCACTTCTGAGAAGTGGAGAAAAAAAAAAGAAAAACTTTTTTTAAAAAAAGCCTCAATCAAACTTGACAAAGGATAAATAGCAAAATGGAAAAGACACAAGCTTTTCCTGATCAGCATAACTCTGGGCTTTTTTTTTGGTTCTTCTTTTGGGATGATGGTCTTTTAGAGTACACGGCTGTCCTAATCAGACTGCGTGATCAGGAACCAGGCTATCTACAGTTGGGGTGAGCAGAAATCTCGAAATATCTCAAATCTGACTTGTCTTCCGTCCTAGACGCTGTTGGTGTCTCTATTGAAATCTAAAGCCACACTTGGCTTAGTCAAGTAATGTCTACGCTACAAATGTTTACAATGCTACGTGTTTGTAAAGTACTTTTCATACGCCATCAGTGACCAGCCCTGGTATATTCGCAGCCCTGGTCCTCCCATTTCTTTTACTCATATTTATTTTTCTCTCCTCTTGTTTATGATTTTTCATTATGCTCTCAATGACCCATCTTATACTGTGACCCGACTTGACTTTAACCGACGGTATGAATGAGTGACGAGAAACTAATACACTTCAACTGAACATGACACACACACATCAACATGAATTTAAAGAAGAAAACAGCGTATAGAAGAAACTGCAACAATATTAAAAATGTAAAGAAAATATATTGAATTTAAAACATTGTTCAGAGGAAATACTGTACAAAGCAAATAAAGTTATGTTGCAACCCTTTGATGCAGATGTGTCCTCTTGACCTGTTTGTTGGCTGTGTTGGAGGCGCGGATTTTATTACAACTCATAGACAACATACAATTAAATCTGTTTTGATCTGGAACTGACGGTTGTCAGCAGAAACACACTTGGAGGCTTTCTGCAGTTTGAAGGTGTTTGAGAAAGCACCCAACATTTGTTTGATGTCTCTGACTGTTGGAAAGTGAGTGTAGAGACTTTGCCTGAAACAACACGAGGCATACATTTAGAAAAAAACATTTATTTGAAATACAACTACATTACATCTTGTGAGTGCATTTTAATTTTCTGAGCAAATCAAATACAAGACCTCTTTGTCAGGCCGGCTAAAATTAAAATAGAGGCTTAGGCCATTGAATACAGAACCTGTTCCTTTGTACTCAAGGACCTCTTTGACACCCAACATTCTCACGTTATCATACAGCATATTTGCGATGTGCTGCCATAACAATATCCAAGATTTCCCTTTTTATTTTTTAGTAGTATACATACTTTTTCTCATTTAGATGCTCATAATAATACGCCTGTTTAATTTTAATTCCTGTTCTAAAATCCTCAAGGTAGAGCACTCATTACCCCTGTAGATGGCGACAAAGCACTTCGCTAAGAAAGAGCGTCAGTTCAAATTTATGGGGAAGAAGAAGAAATCCAAAGTTGTGACCGGAAGTTATGTTTTTTTTTTCCTCCAACCTCACGCTGTAACGAAAGCTGGAGTTCACAGGCACATTAGCTATTTCCACCCGGAGTCGTCAGGTAAACAAGACTGTGCCACTTAAGTTGGCGGGATATATATTCAGAAACAAGTACACGTACACTGTGTTTTATTAAGTTCTGCCCTCTCTACATAAACTAACACTTGTTTATTACTAGCCGTTCAAGCCAATTTAGCTGCATGTAGCGGCTAACGAGAGTTAGCTTCTGCCAGCTAAGGTAATGTGAAAGCTCTGTTGTAAGCTAGTGGGTACTGGAAATGCTTGAACCTTACAAAACCGTGTGTCGTTAAATTAATAAGACCTTGTTATACATTTGAGAATTTACATATATATTTAAAAAATACAGATAAGTTCAGGCAGTACCTATTCCTTAACTCTTTAAAATAATTAGTTTGTCCACTCGACAGTCGCACGAGTCTTATCAGCCCTGAGGCAGCTTACTGGCGAAGTTCTAAGTTTAAACCTAGAGCTCGACTTTGGTTTGAGTAAGACGTCGTTTTATCTTCTTAAGCAAAGTAATAGGTATGTTAAAACAAGACACGGAAGAGTGTGCCACCCCGGCCGGCGAGGATGCTCCACCCACAGCCGGAGAGACGGAGGCACCTGCGGCTGCACCTGCAGCGGCAGCAGCACCGAAGGAGCCCGCGGAGCCGGAGCCTCAGAGCCCGGCAGAACCAGAGCCTCAGAGCCCGCAGCCGGAGCCTCAGAGCCCGGCAGAGCCAGAGCCTCAGAGCCCGCAGCCGGAGCCTCAGAGCCCGCAGCCAGAGCCTCAGAGCCCGCAGCCAGAGCCTCAGAGCCCGCAGCCGGACCCCGCAGAGCCGGGCCTCACACAGCCGGACCCCGCAGAGCCGGGCCTCACACAGCCGGACCTCACACCTCCTCAGGCCTGCGAGGGAGGCACTGAAGGTATATCTCTCTTAGTCGAGGTCCTCCTACTGTCGTGGTGTTTCTGTTACATGACAATGACCTCTGACGTATTCAACATGGAGCGGATGAGAAAGCTAGCTTCCTCCGGCTTTGTTTTGTTCTCTAGTTGAGCAAAGACACTTCAGTCCTAACATTCTATGTGATTCCCTTTGACCCTCACGCATCTTAGGCCAGTGTTTGCTGAAGGAGACAATTTATTCCCAGCTTCCAACTGCCTTAACACTTTTTTTTCTTTGTTTAGGCCAAGAAATCTCCACTCTTTCTGTTCACTAGCTTTGTTTGTAAGCGCTATGTCAGACCCATAAGTGGTAATGTAGGTTTCTGTCAGGAGAAAGTGAGCTGTCTTCAGTTTTGTTCTATGTTAGCTGATGTCCAGCACAATTCTTTTTTAGAGGCAGAAAAAAGACAAAAATACTTTTAAAACACCTGCTCCGTTCGTCAGATGGTCGTTAAACATGTTACTTAATTGAGACTTCCAGTGTATGTAAAATGAGGTTTTAGAATCTTTTTATTTTATGTTAAAAGCAGCATAGTCAGGATGAATTGAGTTTGGACCGATCCAGTCCTATATTGGTGTCTCATTAACGGTCCCAACCAAAGCAGGAAAAACTGAGAACTGTCTTTAAGTGACACAAGTCAGATGTGGGACTGTGGAAGTAAAGGCACATGCTCTGATGCGGGCTAGTCTGACACAGGCTCAGACTTGTGAGAGGCGGTCCGTTTCCTGTGCATGTTGCTGTTGCCTGGCCACCTTTTCCATCTTTGGCTGTAAGACATGTGGAAATGGTCAAAAAACGACGCCGTCAAGGTTCTCTGGTTTTTACAGACGACACAGGTTGACGAGAATCTTGAAACCGTTTCCGTTTCAAGCGATGTGCTTTACGTTTGTCATTTCTCGGGGAAGAAAAGAAGGTGGGGCTTAAGCTAAAAGTGTTTGATGAAACCAACGGCGGTGCTTTCAGTTGCAGAGGCTGTGCTGTCTCAGTGCGACATGGCTGAGGAGCTGAGCCGGCAGCTGGAGGACATCCTCAGCACGTACTGCCGGGAGTCTATCTCAGAGGACGCCGGCGCCATGCTCAACGGCCAGTCACACAGCCTGCTGCTCAACGGGCTGACCGGAGAGCGGGAGCATGACAAACCAGAGGGAAGCAAAGCCCACAAGGGGGCAGAGAAGGAGCAAAAGAAGGGCCAGGACAAGAAAAAAGTGAAGGGCCTGGGTAAGTGTGGAATCGGAGCCGCATGGTGTCAGACTGCCTTCAACTAAGGCCACATTTTGTCTCTGCAGGGAAAGAGATCACCCTGCTCATGCAGACTCTCAACACACTGAGCACCCCAGATGAAAAGCTGGCAGGCCTCTGCAAGAAGTACGCCGAACTGGTGAGCAGCTCCTGCAAAGTGGATCATTCTCCTCCTAAAATCTGTCCACAAATATGCCGACCTCATCTCTGGTTTTGGAAGATGTGATAATGAATTGGAGTGCAGTTTGTATGTTCTCTCCCGGAGCTCCGGCTTCCTCCCACCATAGAAAAACATGCACGTTAGCTTAATGGATGACTTTAGACTACTAAATAAATGTGAGTGATGGATGTTTCTGTGGGATGGACCTACGTCGTGTCCAGGGTGTACCAGGCCTCTCTCCTCATGTCAGCGGGGATAAGCTCCTGACCCCCGACCCCACGGGAGTTAGCGCTATAGACAGTGGATGGACGGAGATGAGAGCCTGTGTGTTTTTCCCTGGCGTAGCTTGAGGAGCACCGTAACACCCAGAAGCAGATGAGGGTGCTGCAGAAGAAGCAGAGCCAGCTGGTGCAGGAGAAGGACAACCTGCGCAACGAGCACAGCAAAGCCCTCCTGGCCCGCAGCAAGCTGGAGAGCCTCTGCCGGGAGCTGCAGAGGCACAACCGCACCCTGAAGGTACCGCGGGGGGCTCCGCGGGGGGCTCCACAGGGGGCTCCACAAGGGGCTCCACAGGGGGCTCCACAGGGGGCTCCGCTGAGCGCGGGGCCGGCGCCGGCTAAACGCCATGTGTCCGCAGGAGGAGGGGATACAGCGAACCCGGCTGGAGGAAGAGAAAAGGAAGGAGGTGACGTCTCATTTCCAGGTGACACTGAACGACATCCAGACCCAGATGGAGCAGCACAACGAGAGGAACGCCAGCCTCCGGCAGGAGAACACGGAGCTGGCCGAGAAGCTGAAAAAGCTCTACGAGCAGTACAAACTGAGGGAGGAGGTAAGCATCCCATCCCTTCCACCCGCCGTGTTTCCCCGCTGTCCCACGGTGTCTGACTCTCGCCCCTCCAGCACATAGACAAGGTGGTGAAGCACAAAGACCTGCAGCAGCAGCTGGTGGATGCCAAGCTGCAGCAGGCTCAGGAGCTGCTGCGGGAGTCTGAGGAGCGCCACGACAGGGAGAAGGACTTCGTAAGAGAGGCTTTTACACTCAGCTGCGTAAGTCATGAAGTGGCTGGGCCCCACAGACGCAGCACTGTCCCTCTCTGTGCAGCTGCTGAAGGAGGCGGTGGAGTCTCAGAGGATGTGCGAGCTGATGAAGCAGCAGGAGGTGCACCTCAAGCAGCAGGTACCCCCGCGTTTCCTCTTTTAAAGCTCCTAAATGGCTTTGTGCTCGACTGGCTTCTGCATGGTGTGCTGTATTCTGTGTCCCAGCTGTCGCTGTACACGGAGAAGTTCGAAGAGTTCCAGACCACTTTGTCCAAGAGCAACGAAGTCTTCACCACTTTCAAACAGGAGATGGAGAAGGTGAGCTGTGAGGGTTCAGAACATCAGCCTGTTTTCTTTTCTTTTTTTCTATTTGAGGGGATTTTCCTGCTCAGACCACATCGGGGTTTTTTTCTTCTCGTGTTAACAGATGACCAAAAAGATCAAGAAGCTGGAGAAGGAGACGGCGATGTATCGTTCCAGGTGGGAGAGCAGCAACAAGGCCCTGCTGGAGATGGCTGAGGAGGTACAGTGCCACGCCCAAAGCTTTCAGAGCAGCATCTGCAGCCTGCATCATGTGGCAGGAGCTTTTGAAAAGGTCGAGCCACATGTGTCGGTTACAGGCCAACGGCTGTGATGAGCTCAGCAGCTTTTCACATGGTATCAAATCCAGTTGGACAGCAAACAAGGCCATTTTCTATCTCTGTTGGCTTAAATGAATGAAAGTAAAGCAACTCCTAAAGCACATCTAGATTTAAATGAGCTGAACAATAACAGAATGTGAAGCCTGAGAGCTTGGAGAACCATTGGTAAGCAGCAGAACATCCACTTTCTGTCAGAAGTTTCTGTTCTTGAGAAGGACGATCAGAGGAGCAGAGATGTGACTGAGCCCTGTCCGTCACGTCTCTGCTCCTCTCCCGCTGGCGGTCGGCGGGCTCCGTTTGCTTCACCGTGTGTGTGTGCGTCCACAGAAAGCCGTGCGGGACCGCGAGTTCGAGGCTCTTCAGGGAAAAGTGCAGCGGCTGGAAAAGCTCCGGCGGGCGCTGAAGGTGGAGCGGAACGAGCTGAACAAAAAGGTCCAGAACCTGAGCAGCGCCGAGGGCGGCCCCGCCTCAGACCCGGGGACCGACTCCCCGTCGCCCCCGCCCACAGACTCCCTGCTGGAGCCCCGCAGCCCTGCGCCCGACACGCCCCCCTCCCAGCCCGCCCACCGCCACCGCCACCCACAACCAGACTCACACCCTCAGCCAGTGCCAGCACAGGAATGAGCAGAGCTGCCCCCCCCCTCCTGCTGCATCATGCCACCAAATGATAAGCCACCAGCCCACAAGCCGCTGCTCCTCTGCTGGATACTGGGATGTTTAGACGCTGGTCTGGGAGCCGATAGGAGAGCTCCCACCTTTACGAAACGAGGACAGAGTATCGCTCAGCTTTTAACAGAAAGGCCACTATCCTCTGCACAGACTTCCCCAAGTGTAGACGCACACTCTGAGTCAGCTCCTAGCATATTTCCACACACCAGAACACAATCCTGCAATAATTCCCATTTCCATGATTCAGCAGCACCTGTAGTGCAGCAGTAGGGGGCGCCACAAGTCCAACCAGGTGACAGCAAGAGGAGTCATTGAGGTTGAATGACTTGCATGGATGTGTGTGTGTGTGTGTGTGTGAGCACCCAGTGGGTCTTATATCATTCAGACAAGAAATGCATTATCAAAAGTTCCATTTCTTTCTATTGTTTTTTAAAATGAAAGTTTTCTTTCGGGTAAAGTCTTAATAGCACTGACTGTTGCTGTCAGCTATGTCCTCAGTTAAGTTGACATAAAATAGAGTTCTTTGTAATTACTGGGAGAAATTTCTGTTGGATTTCTTCTTGATCTTGCCTTTCACACAGAGGATTTTTCCTTCATGGTGAAGTGTTCCAGTGTTTTTAGGCCAGAGCAACAATGATTATTTTTCTTTTTTTTTTTCTCCTTTGCATAAAACACAAAGTTGATTTTTGGTCTGGCCTCTGATCACCTAACATGTCACACCGTAAAAATACCAAATCTTTATTTTTGTTTATTTTAAAATATTTCCAGTGGTTTTACTCTCCTGAGCAAATCATCATTCTGAACTTTTTGCGTTTCACTGCTCATGGCTAGTTTCATTTAGTAAATCTGTTCAGAGCTCTTTAATAGAGACCACTTTAAACTCGGATCTGTGTGCATAAGGATGTGTGTGATGCATTTGTCAATGACTGTCTTTCTCACCCTGGTAACTGCAGTAGCCTGCAATCAGGTCTAATACAGAATGTTCATGTACCTCTATGCAACGCCCGCGTCTTTCTTTTATTTTGTGTCAGTCTGAACTGACAAGCACTTAGCTGAGAATGTATATTCACAAACATAACTTTCCTGCCTGGATGTACTGTACAAAAAAGGCAACATATCTCAGTCTTTTTTTTGAGGGGAAGGTGGTTAGGTTTGGACCATTTTTGTGGAGCTGCTCGTGTTGTATGACCTATTTTGCATCCTGTATGCTTTTAAAAAGTGCAGTGACTGAGCCAAGTGGGGAAACAGAGGGAAAGTTAGGGCCATTGTAACTTGACTATTTCACTCAGAATCATGCCAGTTTGTCCCTGTTGTCTTGTCTGGTGAAATAATACTATTTCCAATGTCCAATTGGATTTCAATGTTCCTCACTTCACTGACCATAAAAAGGAGCCAAAGATGTTTCCTTTTTTTGTCTTTTGCAGTACTTTTATCTGGCCCTGTATATTTTGTTTCTTATCAAATAAAGGATGTAACAAAATATTTTCGGGTTGGCTGTTTGATCACATGCACTTAAAAGAAAATTGCATGTCTACGAATGGGTTTATAATTTTTTTCTTATATATATATATTACAATATATATGTTCTAATGCATGATTTGTTAAAACTTTAGTCACGCTATTATTGTTTATGCGAGTAGTATATATAATTGATGAATTGTACGAGTTTTTATGAATTATAAATCAAGATCTCCATTGCAGTTGGTAAATTGCCGTCGTAAAAAAACATAACATATGACAATCTTTTTAATACTTTGATATTCTATTATTATGCCTTTCATGTTACTTTGTTTTTTAAACGTGAAAAACATTCGGGTCCTTTTTAAAAAAGATGTTAGAGTTCCCTTCCCAGATGGCGGGATTTCGATAGAGGGCGCTGACGCCATCTTGCTTTCTGACACCGGAAGGACGTCCCCTTCCTCTTCCGCCGCGGTCCGGCGCCTCACACACGAGTGTTCCAGTTTTCTATCTCTACGTGAAGCATTGTTTACTCACGGGGACGACTGGTGTCACATAGGTCACAGAAATGGTGAGTATTGTTATCGGAAGATGTTACGGTCGACTTACATTTCGGTCCGACCGTCGTCTTTTCTTTCTTTCTTTCTTTTTACTGCAGTTGTTAGCTCGGGCACGGCTAGCATATGTGCCCCGGCTAGCTTCAGCTAACCGTTCATATTAGCGCTGTCTTAGATGTTGGCTAATGTTGGGTGTGTGTCGTCGCTACGTATAGACAAGTCTGTCGCTTTCCTGGCTTTTATGTAGCGGATGACCCCTTTAAAACTCCTTTTTGACGCTAAGTGGATCTCCAATGTTTGGTTGGGTTTGTTGTACCCAGAAACCCATCCTGCTCCAGGGCCACGAGAGGTCCATCACTCAAATCAAGTACAACAGAGAGGGAGACCTGCTGTTTTCTGTAGCAAAAGACACGGTGAGTTTCGACGTCAGTGCTGCTGGTTCATTCATCTAACGTGGAAGTGGCTAATCTCTCATCTTTTTTCTTTATTTTTGTGAATTCCCATCCCTAGGTCACCAATGTGTGGTACTCGGTGAATGGTGAGAGGCTGGGGACGTACAATGGCCACACGGGAGCGGTGTGGTGCGTGGACTGCGACTGTATCCTGACCTGTGTGGCTCACCTGTGCAGTAGAGCAGTGTGCTGTAGTTTGTTGGCTGGCTGCTTTCTTAACTCGCTCTCTCAGGGGACACTAAGAGCGTTCTGACGGGGTCGGCGGACAACAGCTGCCGGCTGTGGGACTGTGAGACCGGTGCGTGGAGGCCAGCCCCCCCCCCCCCGGCGGGCTCTGTTAAACACACGGCCGTGCCCATTGTGATGAGGTTTGACTGCCCGCAGGTAAACAGCTGGCTCTGCTCAACACCAACTCTGCGGTCAGGACGTGCGGCTTCGACTTCAGCGGCAACATCATCATGTTCTCCACGGACAAGCAGATGGGCTACCAGTGCTTCCTCAACTTCTTTGACCTGAGGGATTCGCAGCAGATAGGTACCCCCCCCCACACACACACACCTAGCTGTGGGCCACACTGGTGTCGTTCTCCTTTGACCTCCCTACAGGAGCAGCCTCAGCGTTGTCCATGTAGAATAAACCAAGTAAAAAGGCTCACCGGTGGGATGATATCGTATGATGTGTTTCAAGACGGAATTTAAAAGTTCTAACTGTAAAAGTTTAGCTCAAGAGGATTTAGAAGGAGGCCATTCAGTGGTCACCTAACTGTCCTGCGCTTCAGGGCGGTTGGAGATGTTTGTGACAGAAAGCCGTGCCTCGTCTCAAAGTTCTCTTGTTTTGGTTATTTTTTATGCTGCATTGCCCCCACTTGCCTTTACCAATGCAAACCAAAGTAGCGGTCTAAGTTTTGGGTCCTTTTCGGTCACCAGATGTCCTGCTGGCTTACCTCTGTGTTGCTCCTGCTTTTAGCAGAGCCGTGCGCTGCATCTCATGTTGGTTGTTGCAGAGCTGTGGGAGCCTTGGAATAAAACGAGAGGGGGAAAAAAATCTCTTGAGTCGACTCCCAATTAAACCACAGCGCCAGGCTGAGGATATTTTTCAGTTTTAATGATTGAATTCTACGTTTATGACACTTCTTGTGGAGTGTTGGAATCATTGGTCGTTCATAACCTCATAAAAAGAAAGATCAGCTTATTGGGCTTTATTCTGACGGGATCATTAAAGGCAGCAGAGAGCCAAACACGCCTGAAAAGTCATACCCCAACTGAGAAGAGCTTTGAGATCCGTGTGTGTGTGTGTGTGTGTGTGTGTGTGTGTGTGTGTGTGTGTGTGTGTGTGTGTGTGTGTGTATAGAGGACAACCAGCCCTACCAGTCCATCCCCTGCAGTGAGCATAAGATCACCAGCGCTGTGTGGGGCCCTCTGGGGGAGTTTGTCATCGCCGGCCATGAGAACGGGGAGATCAACCAGTTCAGTGCCAAGGTGTGTTTGTGTAATCAGCCGTGGTCCTCTGTCCGGCGCTGACCGCTGGGGTAACCGCCCTGTGGCGTTTCCTACTCCTCTCAGTCTGGAGAAATCCTGAAGAAGGCCAAGGAGCACACCAAACAGATCAACGACATCCAGCCGGCGGTGGACCTCACCATGTTCATCACCGCCTCCAAGGACAACACCGCCAAGGTAAGGCCCCCCGCCCACCGGACCCCCCCCCCCCCCCCCCCCCCCGCCCCCCCCCCCCCCGTGGCTGACTGCTGGTGTGTGGTGTGTGCAGCTCTTTGACTCGGCCTCTCTGGATCACATCAAGACCTTCAGGACGGAGCGGCCCGTCAACTCCGCCGCCATCTCCCCCATAATGGACCACGTAGGTGCACTCTGACCTGTGCTTACTGCTGCCCGCTGCTGACCGCCTAACTGAGCTGTGCTGTGTGATCAGGTGGTGATGGGCGGTGGACAGGAGGCCATGGAGGTCACCACCACCTCCACCAGGATCGGCAAGTTCGAGGCCAGGTGAGCGTCGCCCCCCCGGGTGGAGGCGTGGCCCCCCCCGGGTGGAGGCGTCTGCCCCCCCCGGGTGGAGACGTCAGTAACCCGCCCACTCTGCCCCCCCCCCAGGTTCTTCCACGCCGCCTATGAGGAGGAGTTTGGCAGGGTCAAAGGTCATTTCGGCCCAATCAATTGTGTGGCTTTCCATCCCGACGGAAAGAGGTAGGGGGGGGGTTGCCCCCGTCAGAGACCAGCGGCGGTGCCCCCCCGCTGTGAACTAACGGCTCTCCTGTGTTTGTGTCCACAGCTACAGCAGCGGGGGGGAGGACGGATACGTAAGGATTCACTACTTTGACGCCCCGTACTTTGACTTTGAGCTGGAGGCCTAGACGGCCAGTCCCGCTGACCACCCCCCCCCAGTGTGACCACAATAAAGGAGAGAGGTCAATCACAAACGTTTGTTTGTTTTTTTTAGTTAATATTTGGAATAACTTTGGAACTCCTGATGGATTTTTGTTTATTTAATCTCAAACTCCTGTTAGCCTGATGCTCATGTAATCTGAAGCCATTCCAGATCATAAGATTATTAAAAGTTCTCTTTGACTTTTTCTTCCACCTTTATTGCAGGAAAAACACCACTCCCACACAAAGTAGATCCATTTTATTTTTTTTATAACAAAAGTTATGATAATGCACATTTCACAAGGAGAGAATTTAAAACAACCACATGTGGAGAGCCACCTTTACGCATGAAACAATATCTAAAGTAAGTCATTCACTCACCAACATCAGCCTCTCTGAGAGGTTCACACACACTCGCACAATAACACACCATGTGGGGACAGGGGAAGTATGCCAGGTATTCATAGAGGCTGGGCTGAAAAGGGCCGACTGCATTCATGATTTGAAATAAGTTAGTGGGCTGAAGTGGGGGGGCAGAGGTCTGTAAAGTGTGTGTCTTTGCAGCGGAACACTGGGACGGGTTTCTCACCTCACACACATGAGCTAATGCTGGCTGGGCTCCGTTCCATGGAGAAATGCAGTGTAAACCAGGTCTGCCCTTAAGAACATTATTTATTTATTTTAAAAAGCTCCTTTTGTTGCTTGGGACGACAGAGGAATCTGTGGAGGGTTGAAGTTAACAGTAAATCCATTCTCCTGGACGGGGCTTTAAGTGGTCTTCACCTCCTCTTTTGGTCTGAAACACATTGTAGAGGAGAACGATGAGTCGTGCTGTGCTGGGGGGGGGGGGGGCCCTAAAAACAGAGCAGGTGTGGAACCCCGTCAGAAGCTGTTCCTTACCCGGACGTGTCCATCTTCTCCTCTTCTTTCTCCTCTTCCTTCACTTCTGCGGAGCACAAAAGCACGGGTTAATGTGGCCTCTGCTGGGACTCAGCGGGGTCCTTCCAGCGCTCTCACCTTTCTTCTCCTCTCCTCCTTCCTTCTCCTCCTCCTTCTTCACCCGCTTCGTCTTTTTATGATTGGCTGCGTTCCTGCGGCCCCCCCCCTGCCCCTCTGCCTCGTCCTCGGAGTCTGAAAACTCCTCTTCACAGGCGATCCTCTTGTCGTGGGCCCGGACTGGAACACACACACACACACACAGCAGCGCGTCAGGGTGGGGGCCACCGGGGCGTGCCCCCCACCCTCAGAGAGGCAGCTCACTGGAGACTCGCTTGTCGGGGTCCTCCTCGTCCTCGTCTGCGCTGTCGGGGTGGGGGGCGTCCTCGGGGATGGCCTGCATCTGGACGCCGGGGGCGTGGGGCAGCATGCGCAGGTTCTCAAACAGCCTCTGCTTGATCTTCTCCAGGTACTCGCCGGTGTTCTGGTTGGTCATGTTGGAAGGGCTGATGTGCAACTTGAAGTCAGGCCCAAAGTACTCAAAGTAGTCGTTGTAGGGCAGCTCGTTGGGGATGGAGCTGTCCAGGGCCACGGCCGTCTCGTAGGTCCAGCAGCGGGCCACGTTGCGGATGGTGTAGCCCCCCCCGCCCAGCATCAGCAGGGGCAGGTTGAAGCTTTTGATGTACTCCACACACTTGGCGTGACCTTAGGGGGGCAGGCGGGTACGGGCTTTAGCTGGGGGCCGCGGCACAGCCGGCGCTGAGGGTCTCACCTTTGATGGTGAGGTTGAAGCAGCCCAGCCGGTCCCCGGAGAGAGAGTCCGCCCCACACTGCAGCACCACCGCACTGGGCTGGTACATCTCCATCACCTTCGCCATGATCTGACACACACACACACACACACACGACCGCGGTCAGAGTTGGAGCCGCAGATTTGATTATTTAGAAGAAGAAAAAATAATTGAACCCACGGGCTTGAAGATGGCTTCGTAGGACTCATCATCGATGCCGTCTCTCAGAGGGTAGTTCACCGCGTAGTATTTGCCCTTTCCTGCTCCAATGTCCTGCACACAGCGCACAAACGCGTCACACGTGGCCCAAGACAACCCTGTTATGGCGGGAAAACGGTGCAGAAACAAACCCTCAGGTCTCCAGTGCCAGGGAAATATTCCCCATATTTGTGGAAGGAGACGGTCATGACCCGGTCTGTGGTGTAGAAGGCCTCCTCCACCCCGTCTCCGTGGTGGATGTCTATGTCGATGTACAGCACCCTCTGGTGGTACCTGCACAAACCACCAGGTGAAACCAGAGCTTATGCCCCACCCCCTGTGGGCTCCTGCATTCTGGGTTCAATAAGGAGCCCAGGTAGGTCTTGATTTGAGGTCTTGAGGTGTCCAAAAAGGCTTGAAATGCAAACTATCGGTGTTATTGCCTTTTTAACTTCAAATGAGTCCTGCTGTTGGTCGAACATGTGCAAACAAACTCAAAAGCCTGGAATCCTGACGGAGGAAACGGGCAGAGGCTGCAGCGGGCTCAGCTTACTTGAGCAGCTCCAGGATGGCCAGCACGATGTCGTTGACGTAGCAGAAGCCGGACGCCTCGGACTTCTTGGCGTGATGGAGCCCGCCGGCCCAGTTGATGGCGATGTCAGTCTGCTGCTTGTTGAGCTTCACTGCTCCGGCTAAAGGGCACAGACACGACCAGGGCCTTACAGCACAAATGCATTTTACAACCATCTAAATGCCAAACTTTAACACGGTGAGCCCCCCCCCCCGGGGCAACTGGAGGGCCTGTCCCACCTGAGACGGGACAGGCAACCACAGAGGGTGAGTGTTTGGGTCAGCGTACCTACAGAGCCGCCGGTGGACAGCTGGCAGAACTCAAAGAGCCCGTCAAACACAGGACAGTCCTCTCCAACGTTAACTGTGAAGAGAGCAGCAGAGGCGTGAGGGAACATGGGGGGGCTGGAGGAGCCGGGCAGGGGGCAGGCGCTCACATCTCTGCATTTGTTTGCTGTACTCAGACATGTTGTCCGGCCGGATTGACCTCAGGAACTTGATGTAGTCGTCACTGTGGTACTTTGTCATCTCCTCGCCGCTGGCTTTGTGTGGTCTCTGAGAGGAAGACGGGGGGACAGTGATCAGCCAACCGCCCGTCTGCTGACCCAAACGCACTCCCTAGTCTAGGCGCTGGCTTTAGAGTCCTTTGAAACAACTCATCTCTGGAGTGAAACCCAACTTCATATAAGTAACCTACTCCACCACTTTACAATGACCAGCTGGCCACCCTGTAAGTCTGGAATTCTCACACTTTCTACAGTCCAACTGTGGCATTAGTTGCAAAGCTTAACACAGCGGCTCCGAAAGGGGATTCTGAATTAGGCCAAAAGACAAATAAGGACACCCATATATGAGGAAACCCATTTCCAGCAGCTATTGTCCCATGACCCTATATCCTAATCAATTTTAGAGAGGCGGCTAATAACTTCCATCGCTTCCATGCAAAACCAATATCTAAAAATAAGTACAGACGGGGTATGCTATTAAGACAGGTGTAAAATATCAGGTGCTGCATGGAAAGCGAAGAGAAAGAGAGTATGAAAGAAGTGTTCTGACTTACATAGATCTCCATTTTCCTGTACAGCCCATAATTGAGGAGGAGGTTGTGTGTCATGCGGATCCTGTGGGGTTTCATGGGGTGGCCTTGGCCATAGTAGTAGTTTCCAACATCACCTGACGGAGAATACATTCATTCAACAATCCTGAGGTTGTAGAGGAAAAAAACTATCCATCCTGCATTTTAGAAATCTTGTGCCAAACTTTATTCAGAATGTATCCTTCTAAAATTGCAGATATCATTCATCATAACGCATTCTGAACGATTATATGATCCAATGCACAAAGAACGAGAAAAGAGACAAATAAATAGAAATTGCGGTCCGCAAATCTTTATACTCCCCAACCTCCACTTTAGCGAGGTACGGTGCATCAAACCCACTTTACGGAAGTTGTTAGCAAGTTGGTTTAAAACACCGGTGTGATTAGCTGTGGTTAGCTTCGAGGCTCACATATGCCCCAAAATGAAGCTAAAAACCTTTCACGCACATATGGGACCTGATAAAAGTATTTATTCTTTGCAGGGGACTGGACAGAATACGGAATGTATTGGAACTGACATGAAAGGATGCGGGTAGACTACGTGCAAATTCCGGCTAACGGCTAACTCAGCCATCCAAGAAGGCTTGTTAGCCCATAGACTAAACTAGCTTAGCTTAGCCATCACCGGGCACGGCGGTATGGCACACTTTAAAAAACCTGATACGTGAAATACTTTCTGAGCATTTAGACGCCACGAAACCCACTCCGACAAAAACAGAAAAACTCTACCGAACAAGAGCAAATATTTACCATCGTAGTAATAGCAAACTTTTTTCTTTGTTCCTTGAGACAGCGCCATTTTACACCAGTTACCCCACTGGTTCGTTTTCACCGGTTCCTCTCGTGCCAGACGGCTCGCGCTGATCCCTGCTCAGCCAATCACAGAGCCTCAACGGCCCGGCGGGGAGGCGCCGGTCCCACACACGCGGAGCTGTTCGCGGCCGCCGGAAGCACGCGCTGCCGGGGAGCACGCCCCGTCCGCCAAGCTTTAAAGAACATTCAAATATATTTCAATTTACAGCACACCACCGTCAGCTCATGAGACAATTATCTGCTTAAACAGCAGCGTGGAGAAAGTCACAAACCGCCCCACTTCCTGTATCACCGACCCTTCCCTCCAGGCCTTGTTCCATCAACTGTCTTCAGATACCACCTCTGTTTTACTCATGTACAGTCCTAGCATCACACACATTTCCAACACTTTTGGGTTTTGTCTTAGATATCTGTTGGTGACAAGTGCCGTTTATACACAAAATACACGTAAAAAAGAAGACAGCTGAATAAAAAAGACTTTATTACAGGTTGAAAAAAGTGGTGATGAGGGTGGAACTGTCTCTGTGTGTACATCCGAATCAGAATCTGTGTGTGTCCCTTCAAGGTTCAACACTTGCTTTTACATTTTTGCTATTTGGAACTTATTTTAAGTTTTTATGACAGCTTTCATGTGCTACGTGGCACTGTTGACAGTTTGAAAGACATAAGGTTGCATTTTTGCTCCTAAAAAGCGTGAGCGTGTGTCCTTAAAGAATATGAGGAAATTGATCACACGGAAGGCCAAATAAGCTATTTAAGAAGCAAATCAAGCATGTTTTACAGTGGTCACCTGTAAATCTCATGTGACATTCTTTTTTTATTTGCCATTCATTTTCCCCTGACCAGCCCGAAACGTCCCGATAACGGCCAGCAGGTGGCAGCAAACACTCACCTGCGTGTGACTGAAACCTCCAAATCTCTGCTGACACTTCCACGGCAAGAGAAGAAATGAAGCAGTCAGGCTATTAGGTGACTTGTTAAACGTATCTGATAGACACCGTGCAGAATAAAAACACAGCAACACACAAACCCAACAAGGCCCTCAAACACAGAAGCTGTGGGGCAGCTGTTTGCAGCTGGGTGCCATCCCGCGCTGTGAGAAGATGCTTTGTCTAATGTGGATGTGTTTTTTCATTGTCTGATTGACACGTTTAAATCTGTCGATAAAACAAAATGGTCTCTGTGAATATAAAAGATGCCATCAGAAGCAATGAGCAGTTGGCTGACTACATTGGAAGATCCAGCTTGAATAATTCATCATTCTTTGAGGGCTGGATCCAAACGTAGCGCTGATCGAAAGAAATCATATCACCATGTGAACTAGGTCAGTTCAGCCTGTCAGGCTGCTGTGTTCACCATTTTCCAGGATACGGCCGGCCTTGAAATGGAGGAAATACAGCCGACATGGCAGGAGGAGCCACGCTGCTCTCACGGCCACAGGATTCACAAAAGTTCAGGGGTCAGGGAAGCTTACATAATCAGCGGTAACTGCCTCTCATCTTTACAAAGGAATGGGGGAAAACTGAGCCAAAATGCTATCCTTATTCCATGATTTGGCTTACCCGACATCCAAGGACTGTGGAAGCACTGGATTTAATGTCTCACGTGGACTATATAATGCAAAATAGATATGGAATTAAGCCTTTTTAAACACACAGGCAAATATGGATCATTCACATGGTTTGTACAAGTCTAATGAGACTGAAAGCCAGTGGTTTTTGTGCACAACCTTGTTTTTCAACAACGCCTGAGCAACTGCAGACAAGCATTTCTGTCGTTGTTCTTCAGGAAGAGGTCTCCGGCCACACACGGCTCTGCTGCCTTTTGCTCCCTTCTCTGTCAGATGATCCCCCACTGCTTCAGCACTGTTCGCTCCAGGCTTTGGGGAGGATTCCCCCTTCCATCAGGCGCGTTTCCAGAGCTCGTCCTGTGTCATCTGGCACCGCTTCTTCCTGTTTTCATGGAGAACGTGCCCACCGAGGCCCGAGTGAACAGTGGATGGATCCACTGAAGATCCAGATCAAACTCTCAGGGTTTCGTGGGATTTGTGTTGAATTGACTTTTTTCCTCCGTGTTTGCTCATTTCTTTACGACACATGGAGCATGCTGAAGCATAGCAAGTGTTCAGTTTTTGGGAACCACCCTTGGTTGGTGACAAATCCAAAAACATTTGCATGTGTCTGTCAAAATGGAGATAGGTGCTTTGTGCACTTGAATGACTCACAGTCCGACGGTGAGTAGCTCTGAAGGAAAAAAGCCTGGAAAGTGCTATCCAAGGCCACTTCCACAGACTGCAACAGTCTGGCTCTTTCAGAGTGAAATATAAAGGAGAGTAGTACACAAAAGCGAGTTCATAAAATGGAGAGGTGAGAAAAAAGGATTCAGGTCAGTGGTGGATCACACTGTAGCACCCTGTGATGGCTAATAATGATATTTTAGGATTTGTGGGTATAAATCTAGAGTTAGAGCTTCAGAGTGGCTTCTTTAACTCCTCCTGCAGCCACCTGATGATGTGACCCGGTCAGTGGAGCAGGCCTTTTATTGGGGTCGTGTAAGGCATGATGGAAATAACCATAAAGACACGTCAACAGGCAGGTAACCAACATTTATTTACCATTATCAACTTTACAATAAAACCAGTAACATCTGTCAACATTAGCAAAATAAAGAACAGAAATCAATCCAATGTATTTACAGAGACAAAGCAGATTGGGGCTCACACACCACAGATAAACACCTCTGCTTCATATCAAACCGCAACAGTGAACATAGCAAGCTTAAGTGTTCTTTTTTTTTTTCATAATAAGGTAAAAATCAAAGTCGGCTATTTTTTTTCTTTTTTTTCCTCATAACAAACGCGACATAGCTTCTCTGAATCTTTAAGATGGTTCTCTATAATACACCACAAAATACTTCAAATTCGGGTTAAAATATAGGAATGTAAAAAGTTGGCGAGTCTCTTTCATTTTCTGATTTGCTTGTGTGTTGTTTTTTTTTCTTGTCATCTCCTCGATGTAACAGTCATTTCAAGTGGGGGTGGTGTCCCTGTCTCTCATCTAGTGTAGTTTCCTTCTGCGAGGAGGCATCTGGATCTGAGGATTCATGGGGGAAAAGATGCTCCCATCCCTCTCTACCCATCCGCTCTTAATGGTGTCGTTGGCTCGTCGTTTAAATCCATTTTTCCACTCAGCGACCAGCTCACAGCCTAAAAACTCAGTCCGGGTCCAGATGTCGAGCAGTAACCAGGGAGGTGATCTAGTGACTCTAGTCTGTCGTCTTGTTATCATGACGAAAAGTGGCACGTCAAAGAGTCTTTCACATACATGTGTATATATTTACATATACATATATCCATATACATATGTATACATATACACATATATATAAATATATATATATACTCTTAAATTTTCTCTTTCTCTCTTGAAAAACAGTTCACCCAGTTCATTGTGAACTATAGATACAATCACTCTTTCTTTTCAGAGGGGGCGGGGGTTGAGCTGCTCTCCTCCGTAGGTTTCGTAGCCTCGGGGGCCGGGGCAGCTGCCTCCTTGGCCTCCTCCTTGGGCGCCTCCTCCTTAGCTGGCGCCTCCTCTGGCTTTGGAGCGTCGGCCACAGCCTCTGCAGCAGGAGCAGGAGCGGGGGCAGGAGCGGGAGCGGCTTCCTCCTTCACCTCCTCCTTCTTCTCCTCGGCTGGGGCCGCCGCCCCGTTCTCAGCCGGCTTCTCCTCGGCGGGGGCGGCGGCCGCCACCTCCTCTTTCACCGCCTCGCCCTTCTTGCTCTTCTTCAGGTTGAGCTTGATGTTGAAGGACTTCTTGAGGGAGAACTTCTTGCTCTTCTTCTTCTTGGGGGTCTCCTTGGCGGCGCCCTCGCCCTCGGCTTTGGCCTCCCCGTCGGCGGCCGGGGCCGGCTCGATGGCGTCGCCCCCCGCCCCGGCCTCGGGCTCCTTGGCCGCCTCGGCCGAGCCGTTGGAGGCGGCGGCGTCCCCGTCCGGCTTGGTGGAGACGTCGCCGTTGGTTTTCACGTGCCCGTTCTCCTGCGGGGGAGAAAACATGGGTCAGGAATTAAAGCGCCACGCGGTGCAGCCCGAAACGCGCTCAGGCAGCGCTCTGCTGCCATCTCCATCACTTCTTTTCACATCATCCATCAATTAAACAGCTCGGAGCGCGCGCGGAGGCGACGCCTTGCAGTACTCTGATCTGCCGATAGGCGGCGCACGCGCAGCGCGCACTGCCCGGGTACCAGACAGACAGCAACCTAACAAAGACAGGCTGGACTCCGCGATGGAGGACTAAAAAACACATCAATTGTTCTTTTCCTTTATCCACCCCCCCGTTAAAAAGCAAAAGCAAACAAATAATAAAAAAATACATATATATATATATATATATAAATATATAGATTCTCTCATCAAATGTCAGACTTTTTGTTCTAATTAAAAGGACATTTATGAAGCGAAAACAATAGATATTAGTCGTTTTTTTGTCTTATTATAGCAGATTAAATACAGGTAACCTGACATCTATAAGTCACATTAAATAAATCAGACGTCCAGACGATAAAACGGGCTTGTCTTTAAAAAAGGGAGGAGTAGTAGACGGTCTACGTGCTCCAGGCTGCACCCCTCCCCCTTAATGCCCACACGCTGTGGGGGGGGGTTAGACTTCACTTACTAATCAAAATTAAACACATTAAATCTGCACAACCGTAATCGACAACAAACATTAAAGTAACTCAGTTGACAATTTGTGATTTCAAAAAGAAAAATTTTGAGGGGGGGTGTCCAAACCATCCCCGGCACACAGAGAAAAGCCCCACCTGATGTGCCCCACACGGTCACAATTTCATCAATTAAGCGTCGACCAAATGCAGGAAAGCGCTGCTTTCTGCGGGGGGGCCGGGGCCGGGGG